TTAGAATGGGCTGTTCCAGTTTTTCTGCTGGAATTCAAAATTGAGCAGAATCAAAAATTTACCGTTAAGCACCAATCAAATGTTTACCCATTATCTACCACTGTCATTGATAACTGCTGCACGAATGGAAATTTATTATATTTAGAATTTATTTACTATGCTGTGCTTGAGTACGTGTCTTTGTTGTGCATCATTCAATAGGTGGAAAAAATTGAGACTTGTTCAATTGTCTGTGGAGGCGACAACCTATCAATGTTTCGTCCTATGTGCTTGAAAAGTTGGTTAAAAACACTGGAAAATACCAATACAGGTGAAGTAAAACAAATGTGCAACTGACTTGCCTCTAAACATAAAAACTAGTTGGAAATGCATGACTTGCAGTAGAGCTTTTTTTTACTTCACTGTTTTTATTTTTATGCCTTTTCTCTATTTTAATTAAACTGCACATTGCATTTCTCCAAATGACCTTGAAAGTCGGTACAGTCTGTTCTATTTTAGTTATTTTCTTCTAACGGTTTGTTTTCACTTGTGAGGTAACATTTGCTGATTATCAATTGATGAATTACAGATCCAATCAAATAAAACACTGAGTACATATGTTTTTATTTCAACCTAATAAAAAAGCAGATTTGATTTTCAAACACTGATCAAACATAATTTCAGTGAATTAATGTAATTTGTTTACTTATATTTGCCATTAGGATACATGTACCTGCTTTACACAGTAGCTACATGCCCTGAATTTGAATACAAAGAACAAAGTACTGTGAATGATTTATTTTTCATTTAACTAGGTACTTTTTAAAATCTTATTACTCATTTGAAGTACCTCACCGCCCCCACACAGATGTTCCGGCCGCCAAAAGATTTATATTGCGCCTTTATTTAAAATTCAAAATCCAACCAATAGCTGAGATGGAAACATGTTCCCACCCATCAAAATGTGAGCCAATCAGAGCTTACTTTGAGCCGCTGTTCCCTTTATAAAGCCCACGTCCCCACGGCGGTCCACGTATTTCTTTAGCTTGATAGAAATAGCAAAGAAGCGATGGCCAGAACCAAACAGACCGCCCGTAAATCCACCGGAGGAAAGGCTCCCAGGAAGCAGCTGGCTACCAAAGCTGCCCGTAAGAGCGCCCCGGCTACCGGTGGAGTGAAGAAGCCCCACCGTTACAGGCCCGGTACCGTGGCTCTCCGAGAGATCCGCCGTTACCAGAAGTCCACTGAGCTGCTCATCCGCAAGCTGCCCTTCCAGCGTCTGGTCAGAGAGATCGCTCAGGATTTCAAGACCGACCTGCGCTTCCAGAGCTCCGCCGTCATGGCTCTGCAGGAGGCCAGCGAGGCTTACCTGGTTGGTCTGTTCGAGGACACCAACCTGTGCGCCATCCACGCCAAGAGGGTCACCATCATGCCCAAAGACATCCAGCTGGCCCGCCGCATCCGTGGAGAGAGAGCATAAGTCAAGCTCATCCAACAAAACCCAACGGCTCTTTTAAGAGCCACACACATATTTTTAAGAGCAGATATTCCAATTCTTTCAATTCTTAATACTTGTATTATATAATTAATAACGAGGCTTCATGTAAAACTGAACACTGACGACACATTGAATTATTATTGTGGGTTGATTATGTAAGGTGTTTTTTTTATGGAAAAATATTCAAAAATTTGTACTTTTTTGTGCCATGCAGAGTGAAAGTTATGCGTTGGCTAATTTTGTTTTCAGCAAATGAATTTTTTTATTTTTTTAGAAACATTTCTAGTTGTTGCCCAACTCAAACATGGAAGGTTTGAAAGGCTGGATTTCTCTGGGGTAAAATTTATACATTTCAAGTTTTGTTTAAACCCTTCTTCAGACTATTATGTCTTGGGATGTCTATGCAATTCAAACTTAGTGAATTTCAGGTTTTTAGAAAAAAAAAAAAACTTTAAGGCCTTTAGCTCCACAGCCTCAGATGCTAGGGTGCAATTGAAGAAACAATTTTTATGCGCACAACATGTGAAGGAATGATTAATATTGTGCACAGAAGGTTATGGAATGTGTGTTAGAGATAAAATAACTTCATATGAAGAATCAAACTTGTTTAAATGTTTTAGATCTAGTCAAGATCTAAAGTCAGGTTTGACCTTTCTGAACAGAGCTTCCTGCTTCATCTGCTCCAAAAAAGGCCAAATTTGACTCCAGAAATGAGACTACCTGAAACCAGGTGTGAGTAATCAAACCACAGGCAGGTATTCCTGTAGTGTTTTATGGCAGTTTGCAAACTAATAGTAGTGCATTACCGCCACCAACAGATATGGAGTGAAACAAGACTCAATTTCAGAACTATTTAATTAAACCCAACATAATGAGTAACAAATACTTAAAATTATCCTCATAATTTCAAATTTATCTTTGTTATCGTCACTCTATCAGTTTCTAGTGGTCCCATTCTTTTTTTCTACCATACTTCAAACGTTTCCCAGTTTAAATCTCTCACTGCAAGATACATATCTGCGGCTTTCACTATCATTTTGATATTTTGTTTATTTTTTTTTTTTTCCTTTGTCATCTGAGCAGTACAATTGTTCACTTCTACAATGAAAAATACTAAATCCTTATTTTTAACAATCAATGAATCTTCTGTAATTTTGGGACCAAGGCTTTGAACTTGTCATTTGCACCACTGTTGATTTGGGTCTTTTTTATTTGAATGAGGTTCTTTTTGCAGCTTCAGCATAAGTTGTAAGCTCTAATTTAACTTTTCTGATCTCTTGCGATTTTTTGTTCACTTCACAGCCACAATATGCAGCAGTATAGAAGAGAATAAAAAAATCCCTTTATTGTCCTTTAATGGGGAAATTGTGTTGTGTGTTCTTAACAGGTACAGCTCATTTTTACTTCTTTACTGCATTTTCCATATCCATCAAACCTTCCACATTGTTGTTTTCCTTTACATATACCTGCTTTATGACCAAGTTTTTGGCATTTAAAATATCTCAGAGGTTGAGGATTGTAGATTTTCACTTTGTAGCTCATCCATAAAAACCTTATTTAGTAAATGCTCCTCTTCGAATTTGACTGACACTAAGCTATCCTAACTCCTTTCCCCTCAATATTGTTAATGCATATAGCTTTGCCTTGTTGAACGCAGTGTGTGCAGTTGATTAACAATTAAATTCAGTTTATTTATATGCACCAATTCCTTCTGAAAAACTCACACAAAGAGAAGAGACAATTAGGTTTAAATTTATTTGTACAGTTACTTTGTCTTTTGTGCTCAGACCTCGGCAGGAGACATAGCACTTAATTTTGATAGACAAGCATGAACAGGAGCAAAGAATAGGGCTTTTTTCCCCCAGGCCTGTGGAGTGGAGATGGATGAAGTTGGTCAGTCTGTAGACTGCTGGTTAGCGAGACGGTATGCTGAGCTTTATGGAGAGATCCACTGGACTGAGTAAGCTGACACTGGAGCTTCACTCAGGGACCTGGAAGATGAAAGTCCTGTTGAATAACACAGGCTGAGAGAACCTGTCCATCATGAGCATGAGGCGACAGTGGAGAGGAAAAACTCCCCGCTGGGAAGAAACCTCTGGCAAAACTAGGCTCAACATGGCGGTCTTCCACCAGATCTGTTAAGATGAGACGGGGAACGCAGTAAGTGTCCAGGAGGAACGACACACTAAGTTTTAGTAGATGCTGGAGGTGGGTTGAAACGGTGTCATCTGAATGAAATCACACAGTGCAACCACAGCCGGCGCACAAGAGCACACAAGTGGATTGGAGGCCTTTTAAGAAGAACTTTGGATGCTGATTGGTTTTCGTGGAGGTGTGTTTGAAAGCTGATTGACTGTGTTGCAGGTGGATGTAAGAGAGCAATCAGTTTCTTCAGTTGAACTTTTGCCTAGGCTCCATTTCACAACATGGCATCTTAAGGAACTTTACAATTTTATCAGCTCAAGCAGTCAAATTGATTCAGTTTTCTATATAAGAAAAACCAGTTGATTACATTAACTCATCGACTCATCGAAGGCAGTCCCTCTCACCAAGCCAGTGTCACAGCGAAAAAGGAACAGACCAGATGGAATTACTATGAGCAAAAGCAGAGAGAGCATAGTATTATTTTTTTTGATTGAACTAAGAAATTCTGCAGAGTAGGTGAATAGAGATAGAATAAAGCAAAAAGAAGAAAAAGTGGTCCCTATGTCTTCCAGAAGTCTAAGCCTATAGCAGCATAGCTATAGAGATAGCTCAGGATAACCTGTCTCCACTATAAAATATTTTTTGTGCACTTCTGACTTCTCCTACAAATTTGTTTATTGATTTTGTTAACTGACCAGATTCCCATCTGCAAAAGAGTCTCACTGATTAACTAGTTTGAAATATTACTTTATAATCCTTTAGTTTTTCTAGATTGTTCACCACTTATTGTTCTGTGCTGGACTACCCTTCAACTGGTCTCTGCTTTTTCCGCTTGTTCTATTTTTTTGACCATTCCAATCTTCTTTGTTTTCACTATTTCGTCCTCTATTCCACAAGAATCGCTTCCTGTTTCCACACTACTTACAACCCAGGACATTTCTCCACAAGCAACTTAGACACAGGCAGGTCTACATCTTTCTTTGTGACCAATCACAGATTTGAAGATTTAGAAAACAATAGAACCACTAAATTCTATTAAAACCGGAAATAAACATTTCTCTTAACCGAAAACACTACAATTTAGAGGGACTAATAGCTAGAGTTTAGAGTCATAACAATTAATTGATATTTTGTTGTGGCATAACAAAAATGTAGTATATCACTGCAAAGTAATTAACTGCTATTTAAATCTACAATGAAACAACTGTTAACTTCTGGTGTGGGCTTTTATTTTGTAAATCCTAGCCAATGCAAAGCGGAAGTATCCTCCCACGGACGTAAACTTGACACAGACCATTTTGATTGGGCGGTTGCGTTTCTGTTCAGACCTGGCCAATCACTGAACAGACAGGATCTATAAAGGATTTACGCAGGCTGATTCGTCACTTCTTTCATTTTTCGGAAAGAGTTAGCTGTATCACTAAACATGTCTGGACGTGGAAAGACCGGAGGCAAAGCCAGGGCTAAGGCCAAGACCCGCTCCTCTCGTGCTGGGCTGCAGTTCCCAGTCGGCCGTGTTCACAGGCTGTTGAGGAAGGGCAACTACGCTGAGCGCGTGGGCGCTGGAGCTCCCGTCTATCTGGCTGCAGTGCTGGAATACCTGACTGCTGAGATCCTGGAGTTGGCTGGAAACGCTGCTCGTGATAACAAGAAGACCAGGATCATCCCCCGCCATCTGCAGCTGGCTGTCCGCAACGACGAGGAGCTCAACAAACTGCTTGGCGGAGTTACCATCGCTCAGGGCGGTGTTCTTCCTAACATCCAGGCTGTGTTGCTGCCCAAGAAAACCGAGAAGGCTACCAAGACCAAGTAAAGCTGCTCCCCTGAACCAATAAACCAAACGGCTCTTTTAAGAGCCACCCACACCATCTAAAGAGAAAAATTCCTTTAATATTTGACTGCTGAACGTGGTCCAATTGTCCCTAATGGGTTAAATACAAATGATTTCACTTTTCTGATCTGATCTACTGTATTTTCTAATTGTGTTCTGCCTCTCCAGAATTAGATATATATGTATAAAAGTGTGTATATGTGTGTGTTTAGAGCCGGCAGGCAATGTTCAACATCTCTTCAGATGGAAGGCTTGTTATGCAGCAGCTTCTGGTGTCAGGAACCGTTTTAAAACGTGTCTAAATAGTGAATTATTAAAAATCTGAAAATGGTCTGTTTAAAAGAGTCAAATCCTCAACTCCTAATTGATCTAGTTTAAGGTTGGGAACTGTGAGTTCTTAGTTTAATAAAAGCTGCTTTGAGTTTAACCAGCTCTGACAACGGGCCAACAGGAAGTGACAATTTAACGCCACAGAAACTTGAGATTTTTGTGTATGACTTAAAAAACAAGTATTTAAAATGGCGAGCAACAGCATTACAGCTGCAAAGGACAGGAAGAGGACACCTCTCTCTTGTTTCAAATGTAGATCACTAAAGTGATCTAGAAATTCACATTCCTAGTTGGAACTAATATATTTACATCATTGCAGCACAAGCTGAATTTCAGAATGTAGAGGAGCAAAAATGGAGGGGCATATACACTATACTCAGTGCATCCATGTATATTTATAACAGCTGAAGTCTTTTATTCAACAGTATTATTATACAGTGTTATTGCACAGGGTATTTGAACTGTATATGAACAGGGTATTAAATAGTAATTGCACATTAGATGTTGCACAAATTATTGCTCTTATAGTGCCACATTTTAAAGTCTGATGAGGTGAATGACCTGCGGTAGCACTATTTATTATAAGCAGGGTGTAAGAGCCTTTCACTAAAGGAGCTGTTCAGCTCCTCTGCAGTCTGGTGAAGAGGGTGGAAGGTGTTGTCCATGATGGATGTAAGCTTGGACAGCATCCTCCTCTCAGCCACTTCCTCCACTGAGTCCAGAGTGCACCCCATGACAGAAACAACCCTTCTCACCAGTTTGTCCGGTCTCTTTCTGTCCAGCTCTAAGCTGCCAGGGGCCCAGCAGATGACAGAGGAGGGCTGATGACCCTACAGTCATAGAAGGTATTAAGTATGGCCCATTTGACATTTATCAGATAGACTGAGTGGTTTATATCAGAAATACCTTTCTCTAAAGTCAAAATGACCAGTATTTCTGCCTTTAATATTGGAGCAAAAGCAGAAACAAACCTACAGTTTGAAATGTAATGCAGGACTTAACATGTTGATCTGAACCTACAGACATAAAGACTAAAGTAAAGCGCTTTCATAGAGCAGGGAGGATCTCTTTCCATTAAATAAATCCTTGAAAAATGGAGGCAATGTAAAAAACCATTTTTATTTTCTCTCTCACAGCAATAATTGACCTCTGGACTAACTTACATGCAATCATAGTAGCATATATGCATTGTATTAATATGTTTTTCTAACAATATTTAACTTTCCTTTTTATTTTGAATTTACTGTTTTATTGTCATTGTTCTTCTTCTTGCATTGTTTTATGGCGGTTGGCAAACTACTTAAAAGTGCATTACTGCCACCAACTAACAAGCAGTTAAACAAGGAAACAGGAAACTCACCCCCAGAAAAAATAAAATAAATAAAAATAAATCAAGTACGATTTTTCTGAACTGTTTAATTTAACCCAACATAATAAATAATCAAATTCGTCTTGATAATTTCTAATTTATCTTTATGTTGCTGTCACTCTACCAGTTTCTTTTCACAATTATTATGATTTTTTTGGTTTTATTTGTCATCTGAGCACTACAATTGATCACTTATACCAGGAAAAGTACAAAATATTTCGATTTAACAATCAATGAATCTTCTGCAAATGTGTTTATTTTTTTGTTATCTGAACCACAGTCCAATCTGCAAAGAGTCTCCCTGATTAACTAGTTTGAATATTACTTTGTGATCGTTTTTTTGTGTGGAATGTATGGGTTGTTCATCACTTCTGTGCTGGACTCCTCCTCAGTTGGACTCGGTGCTTTTCCGCTTTTTCACATTTTTTTAGTCTACTTTATTGTTATTCTTCGTATTCTTCTTCTTTTGAATTATTTCCCTCCTCTATCCCACAATAATCGCTTCCTGTTTCCTCGCTTCATTTCTCCACAAGCGAATTAGAAACACGCGTCCTCATTGACATTATTTCTGGTGTTACTGACATTAACCGGAAATGGCTCCTATCCTCGGTATGTTCTGACAAGCGGAAGTTGAAAATTGACATCAAACAGCTTTCACTTACGTCCGCCATACTTGTATAAATCCTTGCGCTCTTGCATCCAATTGTTACTGTTGGAGTTAAAGCTGCATACGAATCATCATGAGTGGACGTGGAAAGGGAGGAAAAGGACTGGGTAAAGGAGGCGCTAAGCGTCATCGCAAAGTCCTCCGTGATAACATCCAGGGCATTACCAAACCCGCTATCCGCCGTTTGGCCCGCCGTGGTGGAGTCAAGCGCATCTCCGGTCTTATCTACGAGGAGACCCGCGGTGTCCTGAAGGTTTTCCTGGAGAACGTCATCCGTGATGCCGTCACCTACACCGAGCACGCCAAGAGGAAGACTGTGACCGCCATGGATGTGGTCTATGCTCTTAAGAGGCAGGGCCGCACTCTCTACGGCTTTGGAGGATAAATCTATTGACTGATCTGGAAAAACAACGGCTCTTTTAAGAGCCACCCACATCTCCTACGAGCTGGCTTCTTAACTTAACAGTATATTACCCGTTTCAAAATCAAGTAGTGCAATATTTAATTTCTGTTAAGTCTCTTATTAAACTAAAATAACATGATTACACGTTTGATTAATGGAATGCATATTGCCAAACTAAAGGTCATGTTTATGGCTACGTTCACACTGCAGATCCTAATTCTCAATTAAGATTTTTTTTTCTTTTTGCGTTGCCGTTCCGATTTCTAAATATATGCGAGTTTGTGCATTCCTACAACCCAAGTGTCCCGCATGCGCAGTAGAGGACGCAATGACGTCACAGGCCAGCTTGCTTTACGGAAATAAACATGGAAGGTAGCGCTGGAGAACATCTAGCGAACATAATCGACCATAAAAAAAAAATATATATATATTTTCAAGATAATTAAACATAAATACTACTCTGCTTTATCGCCCCCATTGTTTTTTCCCACTCCTGCGTAGCAAGAAACAGATGGGTGACAACTGTCGCAGGACTGTCAACCCTCACCCATTGGGTGTGAGACTCGCATCTCGTCCTCACGCGCTCACACTCCATATCCGCAATGTTTCTCTAAAAAACACAGACATTAAAACTTAACTCCATTCCACTTATTTATATATGAAAATATCATGCTGATAAAAAATCCAATAAGTTAATCATTAACGCTTTACACCCAAGATGTAACACCCTAACATGAAGTAAAGCTACTGCTTCACTCAAACTTTTTCACCGTCAGATCACAGCTGATCAACAGAAAAGCCAACGATTTACTCAAAAAGCTGTATCTATTGAGTAAAATGAAAATAAACATTTCATATAAAATGTGACGGTGATAGATGCATTTTATTATTTAAAACACTGGTTGGTTTAGAGAATATATCTATAGTGCACACAAACACACAATCGATTCATGCACGAGCGTGGGGCCAATTTTCATTCAGACCCAGGGGCGGATTTTGAAAATTTGGGGCCCTAGGCAAAGACAGGCAGGGGGCCATCTGAATTGAGAAGACCACAAATAAAACAGACCCCTGATACAGATACAAAAAATTTTAATAGAACAGACATACGTTATTTTTTCTAAGTTTTGTCCCTCTCTTATTGTCCTGTTTCTTGTTGTTTTCTTCTCTCTTTTGTACTCAGATGACTTTTCATGCTGTCTCAAAAGGAACAACAGATTTTATTTGAAAGCACAGAAAAATCCAAAAGCACATGTTTACATGGAATTTGACTGAAGTTGAAAGAAGCAGTCCTGTCAAGGACTGTGAAATCTAGCCACAATCTAGCACACTTTTCAAAGGTTCACATTGTGTGACCACTTTTGCTATAACCTTTTGCTGCTGCCTAAACACCACAATTTCCCCATTGTGGGACAATAATGGGATATTCTATTCTGTTCTATTTTATTCTACTCTAAATGTAGCTGCTGTCTTTGGTGGTGCTGTCTAATTTTTGTCATTTCAGCATTAAAGCACAAGAGGGAGACAGAGAGCTAAAACCACAGCTATACAACACCCACATTTTTTTTTATCATTTCCTTTAAATATATATGCTCTTCATCTTTATATATGTATAATAGTTTCAGCATTTCTCACATTTTTATCCATTAAAAGAACAAAATATTTAACAACAAGCTTCATTAAAAAAATTTAAGCTAAAATGTAAAAAAATATATACTACATATATGAGTAAATAAAAATAGATAAACAATGGAAAATATCTAGAAAAGTCTAGGAAATTTGTTTTTTCATCAGCATTGTATCCAAAACTCTATCATAAAATAATAAAATATTTATTAAAGTATGTCCTGATATTAGCGAAAAATCTGTATCAGAAAGAAAATAAATATTACAGACAAGTAACCAAAAGTAACATTAACAAATAAGCATCCTGACTGTGTACATAGCTCCGAACCACTGCCTAACATCAGTACATGAGTGCAGAACTATCTAATACAAAGAGTGAATTTCATGTCTAAATATTAATACTCTATCAAGGATACACATAATTTATTGATTAGTGAATAAAATAGGTCTGATTTAAAAAAAAATAAAATAAAAAGTAGAATGTGTTTCTCACAGAATGGGATAATATTACCAAAAATAAAATGTGACATAAGAAGCCCTAATATCTGTGTTAAATATACTATAAACAAAATAATTGTAAATGACAAACCTCCTTATATCTAATTACCTCTTATCTTTTAATATTTATCTTTTTTCATTTACTTTTTTTGAAAGTAGAAATGCAAAAATCTATATATTTTTGCACATTTCTCTTTTATTGATAACCATTATATAAATCCTTTTAACAAACCATGAACTAACATTCTATACAAAGCACAAATTTACCTTTACTATATTTTCCCAACCACCACAGACAAGATATGTTTGCTTATCTAGACATGAAACATATTATTTGTTGTAACAGCAGTAATAATGAATAAATCAAAAACAAAACTCATCAAAATAGTAATGATGAGCCTATTGATTATAATTAATGTACTTTTTAAAAGCAAATGTTCCGTAATGCCTTGCTCCTCTTCCTTGACAATTTAAGACATATTTATATATTTTTAATTACATAACTTTTTATTATGAAAATATATTAGTCTAAAATCTTGTTGGCAAAATTATGTTCTAGGGCTGTAATTTAATTTGAAGTTGCTGATTGATTTATCTGTAACCATTTTTCATTGCCCACAGGTCAGAAGGAACATGGAGCTTAATTAATTTGTCCTTCTTGTATTTCGTTAGGTACACTTGTAACACATTCATTGGTATGTAATAAATCCTAAATGTTTTATTAGCTCATTGTAATGAAAATAGGATTTGTGTAAAAATGTATTTAGGCCCTTGGGTTTATTTAAAGGAGACAAAAAGAATTTAGTTCCTGATTCATTGAGATTACAGACAAGAAGGGTCTAATTAATGAATAAATGTCAAATCTTCTTCCCTTTTTGAGTAAACTACAACACCAGCATGTACTTTGTGTGTCTGAGTGTGTTAAGTAGGCTATTTGATTAAAAAAGTGTTAATTTCCAACCCTTTTATCCAACAGAGAATCCTGACCAATTGACAGTCTCTGTGTGTTTACTGCTGGGAGAATCTTCCTGATTTCTAAGTGAAATAATGTCACCAACGAAACCATTTCATTTGTATTCTTTTCATTACTTTGTTTTTTAGCGAGGGTCTCGTCTTAATGTTATGTGAACAATTGTTTTAGATGTTTTAAAGGAAGAAATGTGGAGAAAACCCGCCTCTTGATGCTGCGAAACAAGGAGCTTCAGACACTTTTGAGCGTTCCTGGGTTAAAAAGAGAAAGTCCTGGAAACCAAATGGGACCTCAGTGTAGAGATTAGACAATTTCCTTTCCGTTAAAATAAGTTATATGATATAAAATTTTAACTTAGCGAAGATTTAGAGCTTTAAAGCCGGGAAGAAAACACAATTGCGGAGCGATTTGAGGCGGGAGCAGAGCAGCAGGCTGAGTTGTTTCTTCAGGGTTCTCATCCATATTATAAATCCCGCCTCCTGCTCTGAGCTGGAGACGTTCAGAGGAACATTAAGAGAGAAACATGGCAGAAGAAGCTCCAGCAGCTGCACCGGCTAAAGCCCCGGCAAAAGCCCCGAGGAAGAAGTCCGCTCCTAAGGCCAAGAAGGATGGACCCAGCCTGTCCAAGCTGATCGTGGCCGCCGTGGCGGAGTCCAAGGAGCGCAAAGGAGTGTCTGTGGCAGCGCTGAAGAAGGTCCTGGCTACTAAAGGGGTGGATGTAGCTAAAGCCAACAAGCGCATCAATACGGCCGTCAGCAAGCTGGTGGCCTCAGGCACCCTGGCTCAGACCAAAGGAACCGGCGCCTCCGGTTCATTCAAGCTCGCCAAGGAGTCCGCTAAACCAGCCAAGGTGGTGAAGAAGAAGGCTCCCGCAAAAGCCAAGAAGCCCGCCGCCAAGAAGGCCAGCACCCCGAAAAAAGCCACCGCTGCTAAGAAGGCGACAGCAGCCAAGAAGTCTCCGAAGAAGGCAGCAGCGGCCAAGAAAAGCGTGAAAAAGGTGGTGAAGAAGAGCCCCAAAAAGGCCGCCCCTGCTGCCAAGAAGCCAAAGGCTGCTAAGAAGCCTGCAGCTAAGAAGCCTGCAGCCAAGAAACCTGCTGCTAAAAAGGCCCCAGCTAAGAAGGCCAAGAAGTAGACTGCTGCTTCAACCAGCACTCAGTGCAACAAAGGCTCTTTTCAGAGCCACCACAGCTTCATCTTAAGATCCGATTCCCTAGAAGCACAAAATGAAAATAATTCAATAAAGTCATCACACTTAGTAGTGAATAGTGGCTGATAGAAGTAATGATTAAAATCAGTTTATCTGCTCCATGGGGACAGCTTCGTACATGTGATTGACAGATTCACCCTCAAATAACCAGATAAAGGAATAAATAGCAGTAAAAAAAAAAAAAATCAGTAAATGAATTGAAGAATTAAAGCACTAGATTTTATTGAATATTGCTATTATGAATGCAGATAAAAATCTAAATAATTACATGTGTACGCTCCATTGTGATTGGCAAGAATGTAAAGTTTAATGTTTAAAAACGTATTATTTATTTCTTCTTTTACCTTAGTTTTTAGTTTAATTTTTCAAGGTAGAAAGGAGATTGATTCGATTTAGGGAAAAGATAATTGTAATCCATATTTATTTCAAACTCCAACCTGCATAGTGAGCTATTCCAAAACAAATAAGATGTGACACATGAATAAATGTTGTGTTGGGGTTTCTTGAAAGTATTTCCGTTTAACTCTAACTATACATAAAGTAACATTTTTTGCATATTGTTTGATATAATATTGAAAATTTCTTCCGATTATCCTCTTGGAAACTCCCTGCATTTTTCTTTCTTTGTTAAACATCTCGCGCTTTATTTTCAAATGTCAAACTCAACCAATTGCTGAGTTGGACGGGCTGTAGCACTCGTTTAAATTGGTCCAATCAGAAGCCACCTCACGCAGCGCCTCTCTTTATAAAGCCGCTGTTTCCTCTGTGCGCTTATAACTTTGCAGTTGGTCAGAAGGTTAACTTCTAGTCCGCCATGGCCAGAACCAAGCAGACCGCCCGTAAATCCACCGGAGGAAAGGCTCCCAGGAAGCAGCTGGCTACCAAAGCTGCCCGTAAGAGCGCCCCGGCTACCGGTGGAGTGAAGAAGCCCCACCGTTACAGGCCCGGTACCGTGGCTCTCCGAGAGATCCGCCGTTACCAGAAGTCCACTGAGCTGCTCATCCGCAAGCTGCCCTTCCAGCGTCTGGTCAGAGAGATCGCTCAGGATTTCAAAACCGACCTGCGCTTCCAGAGCTCCGCCGTCATGGCTCTGCAGGAGGCCAGCGAGGCTTACCTGGTTGGTCTGTTCGAGGACACCAACCTGTGCGCCATCCACGCCAAGAGGGTCACCATCATGCCCAAAGACATCCAGCTGGCCCGCCGCATCCGTGGAGAGCGAGCATAAGTCAAGCTCATCCAACAAAACCCAACGGCTCTTTTAAGAGCCACATAATTCTCTCTTCAGAGCTTTGATCCTGTACCAAATGACCTTATATAGATGGAATTAATATAGGATTTCATGATTTTTATCAACCCTTAAATTTAATGAAAAGAACACAATCTTTTCTACAAAATGGATACCAGCCTCACCAGATTTTCAAGCTTCCTCCTGTATAAATGTGCAATGTTTATTTGGAAAGGAATCCATGAAGAGGAAGCATTTGATTACTACAGAATGAATTGTACCTCTGGAAACTAAGTATTTGTATGGTGTATAGAATTTAAATCATAAAAACCTAATGCCTAAACCTATTTATTTTTTTGGTCATTTCAATATATGCACTTCCTATGAATAATTAAAGAATAGTAATCACTGATCAAGGGGTATTTGAGAAAAATACACAACAATGCAAAAAATGTTTAGCGATGTCTTAATTTACTTTTTTGTTTTATAAATATAACTTTATATGTATGTGCATTTTGCTGTTTTGCTCTGTTACTTTTTTGTAAAGTGTAGGAGAATTTTTTTTTTTCTGCTTTTTATAGATTATTTTGACTAGAGTTCAGGTCATTTTACTCTGTTCAAACAGAACCTCAACAGCGTGTTATTTAAAAAAGATGTTTATCATTAAACAAGTTAAGTTCTATTTTCTTACACTTGTTATTGTATTGGTATGAAAAGAACGATTAGACAGTGTATGTTATGTTCTTGTCTGTTTTCTACCTACTCTGACTCTTTATTCTCTCTTTGATAAGTATGCTCTGCTGCAAGACACCATAGAGGCAGCAATGGGGCGTGGTACCACAGCATTAAAGTGGTCGTCTCCAGATGGAAAAGATAAGGGTACCATTATTGTTCCTTTTTACCTCATACCAAGGATTATAAGGGAATTTGCCAAGACATGATTACCAGTGAAAATAAAAATGATTGTTCAGACTTTCTTTAACCGTGTTTACATTTGTGTTCAGTTCTCTGCAATTCCTGACATGTGCATAGTTCTTGAGATACAGAAATTCTCTGCTACAACCATGTGTAAATGTTTTCTATAAAGATATGTTTTATATGTGTGTATGTATAGGTTGAATGGATAAAAGTATTGTCAGGAGGAAAGGGGATGGATCTAATATATTAAATCATTCTCATATTTTATTATCAGTCAAATTCATGAAATGGGATTTTTTATACATAGAAACATATATCGTTCTATTATATTGCTGTCTGTTGTTCTTTTCTATCATGGCGGATATCAAGCACCTTTAAGGTGCATACCGCCACCTACTGTTCATGAGTGTGTAGCAACATTGTTTTACATCTATTAAATTCTATTTTTTAATTTTGTATTCTGAAGATAAATAAATAATGCTTTCCTTAATCTATAAATATCAGTTATATTTCCTTTATTTCCCAATAATCCTTTAAGACTCCATTCTTGGCCTGTCCTTTCAACTACTCTTCTCAATTTCTCCCTTTCAGGTTCATATGTTTTACAGTTTATCAATACAATAACATCATTTTCTATCTCTCCCCCTTCCTTTACATTTATCATTATTTTTCCTACCTATTAAATATAAATTGTCATTTAAATAAGTATGACCTACTTTTAATTTGATCATTATTTCTTCCCTTCGGTTTCTCTCATTAATATTTCTATTTAATACTGATTTTTGTACTTTATATAACCTTCTTCCTTTTTTATCTTCATTCCACCTTTTTTTTCGTGCCATTTTTCAATTTCTTTCATCTTAATAAATGATTTTCCTTCCCCTTTCCCAAAAGGAATCGTAATTGTTATTGCCTCCTCTAAAGCCCTTTTTGCTAATTTGTCTGCCTTTTCATTTCCTTTTACCCCTTCATGTGCTGGAACCCAACAAAACCAAATATCAATGCCACCCCTGTATAATCTCAATAAACTGTGCTGAATTTCTAATACTAAATCTTTCCTATTATTTCCTTCTCCCTGAATACTTTCTAAAACTGCTTTGGAATCCGTGCAGACCACCAACCTGTCTGGTCTGACCTCCTCCACCCATTGTAAACTCAGTATAACTGCCACCATCTCTGCTGTGAAAACAGATAGTTGATCTGAAATTCTTTTAGAAATGTGTATTTTGAACTCTGGTATATATATTCCTATTCCCACACACCCTTTTAAATTCTTAGAACCATCAGAATATATTTTAAGGTAATTATAATATGAGTTTCTTAAATATATATCAGTCTGTATCCCTATTTCGTTTAAATTCCAATCATTTTTCATTTTAATAAGTCTCATGTCTACATTTATCTCAGGAAATAGCCATGGAGGAATAACACTAATTGGATTAAACTGTGCTATTTCCTTATCCTCTAATCCAAACTCTTTAATCAATTTGCTTATAACCCATCCAAATCCAACCAGTTTGTAGAATTGTTGAAGTTACATTTTCATCCATACTACTTTTAATTTTCATCCAGTATACTAGACCTAATTTCATTCTTCTCATTTCCAGTGGAGTTTCTCTAGTCTCGACTAAAAGAGCGTTGATAGGTGTTGTTTTCACTGCTCCTGTACATATACGTAAAGCTCTACTCTGTAATCTATCTATCCTTTCTAATGTTGTTTCAGCTGCTGCTCCATAAATAAACTGCATTAATCTATTATTGATCTCATGAGAGCCCTATATATGTTTAATAATGACTGTCTATCTGCACCCCAGTTATTTCCAGCCACAGCCTTTAGGAGATTTATAATTTTCTTACATTTAGTTTCCAAGTTATCTATATGTATTTTCCATGTATAAGAGCCATCTAACCATAGTCCTAGGTATTTAAATTCTGCAACCCTTTCCAGTGGCTGTCCATATAATGTTATTGTTCCTATATCAATATTTCTCTTATTTTTGAATACCATGCAACAAGACTTGTTTGCTGATCATTTAAAACCCCATTGATAGGACAATTTTTCTACTTTATTAATTGCTTTCTTAATATTTCCTACTACATGTTTTATATTGTTTCCTCTCATCCATCATCTGCATATAATGCAGATTTAATACATTTATCAGTATCTGAAAAATATCACTAATCATGATATTAAATAAAATTGGACTTATTACAGGAATTCCATTTTCCACATTAAATTCTTTTGAATAATCATTCCCAATCTTCACCCTTATTTTTCTATCCATCAAAACATTTGCTATCCAATTATACATCTTCCCAGCTATTCCCATCTGCTTTATTTTTATAAGTAACCTTTCTCTCCATAATGAATCATATGCTTTTTCTATATCAAAAAATAATACAATCATTATCTCCTTCATTTTTAACGCTTTCTCTATGTCATTACTGACTCTAGTTAATGCATCCATTGTTGATCTCCCTGTTCTAAATCCACACTGGTATCTATTAATTAATTTCTTATGTTCAAGAACAAACCCTAATCTACTAACCACTACTTTCTCCTTCCATTTACTTAAATGAGATGTTAAAGCTATTGGTCTATAATTATTTGGACTGATAGGATCTTTCCCTGGTTTATTAAAAGGTACATTTTTGCCCTTTTCCAACTATTTGGTATTGAACCTTCTTTCCATATTTTATTGCATAATTTAAATATTAATTTCAATGTTACTTCCGGTATCTGTCGAAACATAGCATAGCATAATTGATCCTCCCCTGGAGCTGAGTATCCTGACCCTTTTAATACTGTTTTAATTTCTTTCATAGTTATATTCATGTCGAATGTTGATATACATTTTTTACATTTTCCCAATATATTTTTATGATTTCCAAGTTTTTGTATCTTCTGCCTTCTATGAATGTCTGTAAAATGATCGCCAATATGAACTGCAGCAAATTTCTCGCCTAATAAATCTGCTTTATCTTTATTTAAAACTACTATCTCCTGATCTCTAACTAAGGCTGGTATTTTAACATCATTCCTTTTCCCCGTCATTTTCCTAAACATTGACCAAACATTCTGTAATTGTATTTTTCAAACATTGAGGAACAATATTCTCTCCATGTTTTCTTTTGTGCTTCCTTAATAGTTTTACGAAACATTGCTCTTTTCCTTTTATATTCAATAGGGTTGTTAAATTTTTCTGTAATATTTTAAATGCCTTGTTACGCTCCTTAACGACTTTATTACATTCATCATTCCACCAAGGAACTACCTTTTTCTTACCTTTTATTTTTATTCTCAGTATGCTATAACTTGCTGCATTTAAATTATGTTCTGTTATATCCCTTGTACATTCTTCAATGTTGCCTTTTAATGAAACCATATGACTGGTTTCCTCACACTTAATTTAAAATTTTTGCCAATTAGCTTTATTAAAGCACCATCTTGTTAATATGAAATCTTCTTGTCTAATGCTGTCTGTGAATGGGTTGAATAGTTTCTGCCACCAGCTGGCGGCCTGGAAGCCAGGCCCTCCACCTTTAGCCACGCCCCGATCTGGAGGCTGCGATTAGCGATAATTGGCAGAAGCAGACGGCAGAAATTTCCGCCTGCTTTGATTGGACGACAGGATTTGTTGTTGTATGTGACCAATCAGAGAGCATATGATCCACGGCAGGCTTTATATATACTCCCAATGCGCGTCTTACAGTCACTTGTTATAGTAAACCTTTACAGAAATCATGTCTGGACGTGGAAAGACCGGAGGCAAAGCCAGGGCTAAGGCCAAGACCCGCTCCTCTCGTGCTGGGCTGCAGTTCCCAGTCGGCCGTGTTCACAGGCTGTTGAGGAAGGGCAACTACGCTGAGCGCGTGGGCGCTGGAGCTCCCGTCTATCTGGCTGCAGTGCTGGAATACCTGACTGCTGAGATCCTGGAGTTGGCTGGAAACGCTGCTCGTGATAACAAGAAGACCAGGATCATCCCCCGCCATCTGCAGCTGGCTGTCCGCAACGACGAGGAGCTCAACAAACTGCTTGGCGGAGTTACCATCGCTCAGGGCGGTGTTCTTCCTAACATCCAGGCTGTGTTGCTGCCCAAGAAAACCGAGAAACCAGCGAAGAAGTAAAACTGCAGGCTCTCTAAAACAAACCAACGGCTCTTTTAAGAGCCACCCAAATCTCACTAATGAGCGGGATTTACTGTTATCATATATATTCACATTTATTCTGTGGGCCATCAGATGGGTACTAGAAATATAGAGATGGAGGTGTCCAGGTTATAAAATATGTCAAGTCAATCTAAGAACACAAAATGAAACGTCAGCATACATCCCCTACATAAAATGTTCAAACTTCGAATAAAATTTTAATAAATGGCCAACGTTCTTTTGTAGCAAAGCACTACATACGTAAATTCAGATTTGTTAAATACATGCCTCATTTTCAATGGGCGTTTGAGAAAGATATAAGAAAAATGTGTAATGATGTCCTATTGATTTCCTTACGTTTTTTTAAGAATATATATTTGTGAATTTGTAGTGAAGAAGATGCTGTTATAGATTATTTTACAAGAGTTGAAGTCGTTTCACTTCTAATTGTTCAATTAAAAAGAATCTCAACATGTGAAAACTTAATTTACAAGACAACGTACATTCCAAACACCTAACAAAAATGAGTATAAAGTTGGAACTAATCTACACTCCCTACATGAAGCTGAGTATATTTACTAAAACTGACGAGACATCTAATATATTAAGTGATTGGAAACTCCATATGGGCTAAAAGCTTTTATATGAACTGCAGCTGCTTTATAAATCAGTTATTACCATTCGGTTTGATCCTATATCAGCTGGAATTTATTCTTTATTCATTAAGCGTCTCTCAATATTCAAACTTATATCTTAAAAGCAGAAATCTGGTTACAAGCTTAGAGGCGGGAAAAAGATGAATGCTTGTCCTCACTTAGGTCCGTAGGGTGCAGATATATCTAGCTGCTCAGCGATCCAGCACTATTCTCTCTGTCAGTTAGACAAAGACAACATGAGCGGCCGAGGCAAAGGAGGAAAAGGACTTGGAAAAGGAGGCGCTAAGCGTCATCGCAAAGTCCTCCGTGATAACATCCAGGGCATTACCAAACCCGCTATCCGCCGTTTGGCCCGCCGTGGTGGAGTCAAGCGCATCTCCGGCCTCATCTACGAGGAGACCCGCGGTGTCCTCAAGGTTTTCCTGGAGAACGTCATCCGTGATGCCGTCACCTACACCGAGCACGCCAAGAGGAAGACTGTGACCGCCATGGATGTGGTCTATGCTCTCAAGAGGCAGGGCCGCACTCTCTACGGCTTTGGAGGTTAAATCTACTGACTGATCTGGAAACTCAATCCCACAAAACAACGGCTCTTTTAAGAGCCACCCACATTTCTTGAGATTGTTCCTGCTATTTGAAGTGTTATTAGAAATATTTGGTTTGTGCGTACTCAACGGCTTTAAAAAAAAGCTTTTCACTGACATTTGAAGGGGAAAAAAATCCCGTCTTTGTCCCATAATGAGGAAATTCTTTTATGGCAGCAGAAATAATATAGCTAAAGTGGACACAAATGTGCACCATGGTGTATATGAATTTGTATAAATGGTATAAATTTAATTCAATGTAACCAGAAATATAGAAGGATCACATATGCAAAGTAACATTGTGCACTAGTGACATGGTCTTCAAAAATAACTATCTTTCGCTTAAGCCTGTTTATTTCTACTTTTATCCTTTATAAAATTATTCAGACTAGTATTACTGCTCTGTTTCCTTATTTCTAGTAACTGTACTGCTGTTTTATTCTATTTTAGCTAGAACAACATAGAACATAGAAGGGTTATAGCTTTGGCAATACAGTTAGAGTTTTTGCCACGGTTGCTAGGTTGTTACCAGGGACTCTAAAACGCGAATAGGAATCTGAAGATATGAGACATCTATCACAACTAATGGGGCTCCGTCTATGGTTGGGCGCACTGCTGGATTCGTTGCTCTGTTCAAGCTGTCTGAAACTTAAGTAGTAGGTCTACATCCTTCTCATAAATGACAAATTCTTATTTAAGTACAGATTTTTGGTGTTTGTATTAGTTTATTTTTAATTGTGGCAGGATTGGTCCTCCATATCCTCCATACACTATGCTATGCTTTTTCTGTCCACTGCAGCTGTCATTTTAGCTCTTCTTTAGATTATTGCATTCAGAATCAGTATAAAAATTGAGTCAACAAAGGCAGATGTATCAATCCATTAAAAAATAAACCCTTTATTGCAGTACCATGTTCTCTAGTAACCACAAACAGTTTCTCTCAGTTGTTTATGTTTCAACACTTATCTAGGAATCTTATATTTAAGCAGCATGGAGCTTCATTCCAAGTCAGATGTTCTTTGTTCTTCTGGATTGTTGGAGCTTTCTGTTGTTCATGGGCTGTTTTTGAACATTTATATTCCTTGTTGACAGAGGCAGGGGGCTAATAGATAAAAACGTTGGTTACCTATTTTAACACCAGATTCTATGAATATAGGTGTAGCCCTTTATTAAATAGAACATAAAGCTCAAAATGTTTCTTGCTGTGAAGCTACAACAAGCTCCCAACCCATCCCCCCCTCTCACACACACCAGTAGCTGCTCTAAACCTTCCGAGCATGTAAACCAATCAGAGACAGGGTACAGCACAGACTCTTTTACATACACCCTGTATATAATCACCGGTCTCCTCCTCTTGTATCTCATTCGTTGTTGTTTCTAGGAACACATCAGGATGCCTGAACCCGCCAAGTCTGCGCCCAAGAAGGGCTCCAAGAAAGCCGTGACCAAGACCGCCGGCAAAGGAGGCAAGAAGAAGAGAAAGACCAGGAAGGAGAGCTACGCCATTTATGTGTACAAGGTGCTGAAGCAGGTGCACCCCGACACCGGCATCTCCTCCAAAGCCATGAGCATCATGAACTCGTTCGTCAACGACATCTTCGAGCGCATCGCCTCCGAGGCTTCCCGCCTGGCTCACTACAACAAGCGCTCCACCATCACCTCCAGGGAGATCCAGACCGCTGTGCGCCTCCTGCTGCCCGGTGAGCTGGCCAAGCACGCTGTGTCTGAGGGAACCAAGGCTGTCACCAAGTACACCAGCTCCAAGTAAACTCTCACTGCCGCAAACTCAACAAAGGCCCTTTTAAGGGCCACGCAAATATCAACAAGAGCAATTGTTTCCTTTAACTTTTAAATCGAGGTGGGGAGGTTGGCATTCTGGTTAATGTTTGTATTGACAGCCTTTAAATCTGTAAGGTATGTTTTGTCATTTACCTGATACCTCAGTTGAAAAGAAACTCTTGATTTCATAAACTATGTTGTGCAGTTTTCTGAGGTGAAGAATTTAGAGGGAAAAAATGTCCAACTCTACTTCAAACTGTCACTATTAGAGGTGGGCGATACCGGGATTTTTTAATTGATCCGATACCAAGTAAATACTGGGTCAGTATCGCCGATACCGATACTTTTTACATTTAATCTGCACTTGCCTGTTGCTTTTTTTCTATAAAGTTCTCAATCGTGGAATAAATAAGAGATTATCTAATGTTAGCTTATTTTAGCTAACAATTTTTAATGGGATAAATGTACTGGGTTTTTTCAAGGTCTTAACTACACTTTCTGAGTAATATATGATGTATAATGAAGTGCTGCAGACGATGACCACTGTTATCTACCTGGATATTCTCTGGAGGACTGAAACGCTTGGGTCAAAGATGTCTGTCTGAGGCTGGAGGCGGGTCTTTGGTCTCTCTCTCCATCCAAGTCTGAGTGAGCACTCACCCAGCAACCGGCAGCGCGGTTGTCTGTGTGACGTAGTGCTGAGTGGGCAGGCCAAGCTAAGCCTGCGCGCTGATTGGCTGGCGCCGCTGAGCCATGTGACTGTAGGAGAGGGGAGGGGGAGCAAAGTGCTGTTACACATATGGGGAAACTGGTGACTCCGCAGCAGTCAGCGCGCGCGAGAGAGGATAAAAAGTATCGATCTTGTTAAACGAATATTGTTCAATATAAATACCAGCGTTGGTATCGATAGTATCGATCCTGGGATCGATCCGCCCACCTCTAGTCACTATCATAAAATGCACATACTGCCAAATCTAGTGTAATTACGAAACACTGTACAGTATAACACACAACCACATCTAGTCCATCTATATGTCCGAAATTACATTTGTTTCCCTAAACTAACAGAGAAAACTCTGCATCTGCTCAGACTAGGACATTTGTCATTTTGTATACATGTATAAAAAAATAAATTTCATTTAGTACAGCTTTCAGACAGTACATTAACCTTTCCATTCCATTGATGTAAATGGATGCTGATCTAAACACCTGATATACTTTGAATTGATTTTTTGTGTGATTACAGGGCGTGCATTTTTATGGAGGCAAACTAGAACAAGCAGCCTTTTAATAGGATAACAGGGCTGGGGGGTGCAGTCAGCCTGAATTTATTACTAATAAACTGTGTGTACTCACTGCTCCCTGGATGCTGCACACTGGCAGCTCACTGTCCCCTAAAAGGATGGGTTAGATGCAGAGAGTTAATTTCTCCAATGTGAGATTAATAAAGTTAATAATTAAAAATAAATGGCTGTCTTTACTAAATTGTTTAATGTTTTTCACTGTTTCATTGAATTGAGCTACTGAAATATATGAAATGTTTTATCAACATTTATCCAGTATTTTAGTCGCTCAACACATGATAAACAGAACCTTCTAACCTTTTATTTACCATGAAAATACAAAGTAGAAAACCAAGAAACATTTATTTTCAGGAGCGCCATCCTGTGTTAAAACATCTGTTAGACCACAAGATGTCAGTGTTGAACACCTTTTTGATAAATGCAAAGATTGAGCTTTTTCTTTATTGTTTTTAATTTGTCGGCATATAGAGGCGATTGGCTGTCTGACTAATATCCACACTGGGAACAGACGTTTGTCAAATAAGTTCAAATATTTCTAAAGCTCTATCTGAGACTTTAGGTTTCATTCCATCCATATTACAAAGATGTATTTTTGGCATGATTTTACAAACTGAACTCACGTTATGTCACACAGTTAACAGCAACATGGATACAAAGTAGGAAGATCTGTATCAGCTAAACAAGCCAAACACATCCAGAAACATGTTAGACAAAAGAGAAACATTATACCGCCCAGTGATCAATAAATATCCCATTAATCCATGAAAAAAACGTTTGTATTTTAGAGCGAAAACCAGGTTTGCTAAATAAAGCTCCACTGCCATTTCATTAAATGTGTTCCCATATATAAAATAAAATACAAATATAAATATTAGAACAGTAAAATTACAGTCATTTTTACTATTTTTCAAAGCTGCACTTTTAAAAAGATGAAATTGTCCAGTGAGCTTTTTCCAAACTAAATTTCTTTTTGTTTTACACATGTGTAAACCAAATGACAAATAAAATCTGTCTAAAGTCTGAAGTATATATATTTATACATAATTAACAAAATAAAACAAAATTCCATAAAAAGAATTGAAATTACTTATTCAGGGGGATGTGTTAATATTCCTCCCCATATTTAACCTGTAGGCCAACACACCTGATCCCAGATCCATTTCTTTCGCATCAGTCTTCTTGTTACTGATTGGCTGTTACCTGGAATCTCAGCTGTGATAACTGCTAAATTTTCAAATATCAACATCTTCAGTGTTGAACAGTTGATCGCCATGACGTCAGTTTTGTAAACAAATAAAATGTTGTGGTTTCACTGGAAGATTTTGTTCCTGAGTACAGAGCACTCCTAGATCGACAGAGGTTGGTATAAATCCCCAGAAAGTCTCACAGTGATTTGAGGTTTTTACAACTGAGGCCTTTAAATTCGGTCAGCAACATGGAGACACCTGCTCTCTGGAAAACAAGGTAATGTTCAAGCTATATGAAGAAGAAACAGGATGGAAACAGGTTAAACTGCATTTACTGGAAAAACATGAAATGCGTTGATAATAACAGCTTATATGCATAAAATCGGATTATTTTGCATATTTTCCTCCTAAAATTGCAAAACCCAATTCCATGGTGCCAAGCTTTTTTCTAGCAAATCTTTGATGCAGGGATCAGTGAATTCAGGGAAAAGTGGCCTTGTTTTTTTCCTGTCAAAGTATTTGGTGGCTTTTGTTTTATAACTACAAAGAACTGACATGGGAGCAAAAAAGAGATACAGCATGCACACTGAATATGAATTTGTTCCCATAAAATATTTATTCGTTCCCACTAAATGGTACATTTAATACCACAAAATACTAATTTATTCCCAAGAAATTCTCACTTTTGGCCACAAAATTTATATTATGTATGCAAGAAATATTAAAACATTATCTTCCCACACGCAGCACACCTTCTCAAAGGAAGGTGATGGAGAGAGATCACTTGGTCAGGTTTTATTTTAGGCCGGAGATGAGCTACAAAGACATTCTGGGAAGTTTGATGTTTCAAGGAATTCTCATTAGTGATAGGCATTTCACGTACAATTTGGATGCTGGGATAGATTTTATTGTTGACCAACTGCAAGTCTCTGAAAGGACCTTGGTTATCGGTGGATGTAAGCTAAGTGCGTAAAACTAACAAACTAGCATTTTGTGGGAATAAATGTTCATTTACTGGGAAAAAATGAGTATTTCTTGCACACGCTGTATCTCTATTTTCTTCCATGTCAGTTCTGGGGCTCCGTACCCTTTATGTTTTCTCAGATTTCTTTATGATTTTTAATTTTTTTTATTTTATACTTTCACACTATTTTTTTTTGTTTACAGATTTTAAATGTCCAAATGTCTCCTTTTCAGCTATAGTCTTAAGAATTGGAGTCTTTCCTAATCGCGTGTCACAGACCCCATTCTCTTCACTTACTGTAGAATCCAATACTAAAGCCTCCGAGAATCTGGCTGTTACCTGGAATCTCAGCTGTGATAACTGACACATTTTCAAATTTCAACATGACAACGGTTTCGTAAACAGAAAATTTAGTGATTTCACTGCAACAACTTCTTTGTTCCTGAGTACAGATCGCTCCTAGATCGACAGACGTTGGTATAAATCCCCAGAAAGTCTCACTGTGATTTGATTTTTTGACAACTGAGGCCTTTAAACTCATTTAGCAACATGGAGACACCTGCTCTCAAGTTATATCAAGAAGAGACAGTAATGCAAATAGTTAAATTTAGGGAACCAAACGTTGCAGCAGTGTTATATTAATATAATAACATTAGACGTGTTTGAGAAACAATCAGTTATTCCATTATTCACTTGTGATTTAATGAAGTTCATTAAATTGTTAAACGTTAATTAACTTTTCCTCCTAAAATTGTAAAACCTTATGCCTTGGTGCCAAGCTTTTTTCTAGCAAATCTTTGGTGATGCAGGGATCAGTGGATTCTGGGAAAAGTGTCTTTTTTTTTTCCTGTCAAAGTATTTGGTGGCTTTTGTTTTATAACTACAAAGAGCGGTTTTAGATTTCACCCAGTCAGCATCCTCTTTTAGTGCTTCCTAAATAGATCTGCTATCGAATGTAAACATTTGTGCAATGAACTCTTTCAGAGCCGTTTGAATTCACTCGGCAGGAAAAGAAAGGTTAATGATGTCACCAAGTTGGACAACAAAGAGCTCACCGCTGGAGAAGATCAGTCTGTGTCCTTAGATTTTGTCAGAGAGAACCCTGAGAGAAAGAGGAGCTCTACTAGAAAAGCACCAAAAGAGAGAGCAGGCAGCAAAGACACCAATAGAGAGTTGGTCAGCATGATTGTGACTAGCAGCACCAGTATCAGCCTCAGAGAGTCAGAGGAAGAGCTGGGACACAGTAGGGTGAAGAAGAGTGAGGCCGGTGTTATAGCAGAGTCCTCTGAGAAGAGACAGAGTCTCTGAGCCAGAACAAGGCACCAGCAGCTCAGTCTGTGACCTGCACACAAGCAAATGTGAGCCCAACACTGAAACAATGTACCTCAGCTGGAGTGGGAAGATAAACATCCTTCCTGTTTTTTACTGAGGCTAAAGACATGCTATTTTACTCTTTGACTGTTTTATTGTTAAGAGATAAAATGTTAGAATTTTGTGCTTATAAATTTAACTTAAAGCCAAACAGGTTTTATTAGCAACGCTAGAGGTAACAAATAGTACACAACCACCTGAACAAACCATTTCCACTATGAAACAGGATGGTGGCAGCATCATGCTGTGGGAATGCTCCTCTTTAGCAGGCACAGGGAAGCTGGTCAGAGGGAGTTATTGGTGCTATATAATTTTCACACTGTGTAAACATATTTCAAGGCCTAATACATAATTAGCAACACACACAGAGAATATCGTAGATGTTTGAACCCTAGCACACAGAACAATGGAAAGCTTTGGTTGTAGCACTGATCCCTGTGGTACTCCACAGGTAAACCTGGAGCATGAGGGCTTTGGAGGACTAATTTAGACAAAGTTTGTCATTTTTATATGAAGAATTAACAGAAAACAAAAGCTGCTCATTTCACTAGCATGAACTTGACAGAAGGTAGCCACTGTGGAGGTGGAGAAACAAGTGGCAGGAAAATGAGAGGCGAAAATAATCTGTTCGCTGATAAAAACACCATGAATATCTTTGATCACAAATTATGAAAATAAAATCTACAAGGACAGAAACTTAAATATATTTGGGTGGTTTAACAATGAAAACTAAAATATAACACAGCAGGACATTGTAATAAGTAAAGGAAAAATACAGCATAACTAATTCAAATGTCTCACAGAATAAAATGTATAACAATAAAGATTTATAGCCTTTTAAATATATCTTTAATTTTGATCACTTTCACATTATGGCAGGATTTGTCCTCCATACCTACCGCTTATTTTCAAAGACCATGTAATTTATGAACAGATGTGATCTTTTATGGATAAGCATTTCGTATTGTGATAAAACAAAGTTACAAAGAAAAACTCTTTGCCCTATTACATTAAATCGGCTCCACTTCATAAATCCGGAGCTCAGAATATAATTAGACTATCCAGTCAAAATACGTCAATAACTCAATTTCACTTCCAAAGTTCAGTAAATAAATCTGCAGGAATCATCTTAAGAAATGTGGGTGGCTCTTAAAAGAGCCGTTGTTTTGTGGGATTGAGTTGGAATTTAACCTCCAAAGCCGTAGAGAGTGCGGCCCTGCCTCTTGAGAGCATAGACCACATCCATGGCGGTCACAGTCTTCCTCTTGGCGTGCTCGGTGTAGGTGACGGCATCACGGATGACGTTCTCCAAGAAAACCTTCAGGACACCGCGGGTCTCCTCGTAGATGAGACCGGAGATGCGCTTGACTCCACCACGGCGGGCCAAACGGCGGATAGCGGGTTTGGTAATGCCCTGGATGTTATCACGGAGGACTTTGCGATGACGCTTAGCGCCTCCTTTACCGAGTCCTTTTCCTCCTTTGCCTCGGCCGCTCATGTTGTCTAAAGTCTAACTGACAGAGAGAATAGCGCTAGATCGCTGAGGAGCTAGATATACAGGTGCTGGTCATAAAATTAGAATATCATGAAAAAGTAGATTGATTTCAGTAATTCCATTTAAAAAGTGAAACTTGTATATTATATTCATACATTACATACAAACTCATATATTTCAGATGTTTATTTTGTTTAATTTTGATGATTACAAATGACAACAAATGAAAATCTCAAATTCATCATATCAGAAAATTAGAATATTGTGAAAAGGTTCAAAATTGATGGCCCCTGGTGCCACACTCTAATCAGCTAATTAACTCAAACCACCTGCAAAAGCCTTTAAATGGTCTTTCAGTCTAGTTCTATAGGCTACACAATCATGGGGAAGACTGCTGACTTGACAGTTGTCCAAAAGACGACCATCGACACCTTGCACAAGGAGGGCAAGACACAAAAGGTCATCGCTAAAGAGGCTGGCTGTTCACAGAGCTCAGTGTCCAAGCACATTAATAGAGAGGCGAAGGGAAGGAAAAGATGTGGTCGAAAAAAGTGTACAAGCAAGAGAGATAACCGCACCCTGGAGAGGATTGTGAAACAAAACCCATTCAAAAATGTGGGGGAGATTCACAAAGAGTGGACTGCAGCTGGAGTGAGTGCTTCAAGAACCACCACACACAGACGTATGAAAGACATGGGTTTCTGCTGTCGCATTCCTTGTGTCAAGCCACTCTTGAACCACAGACAGCGTCAGAAGCGTCTTGCCTGGGCTAAAGAGAAACAGGACTGGACTGCTGGTGAGTGGTCCAAAGTCATGTTCTCTGATGAAAGTAAATTTTGCATTTCCTTTGGAAATCAAGGTCCCAGAGTCTGGAGGAAAAGAAGAGAGGCACTTCATCCACGTTGCTTGAAGTCCAGTGTAAAGTTTCCACAGTCAGTGATGGTTTGGGGTGCCATGTCATCTGCTGGTGTTGGTCCATTGTGTTTTCTGAGGTCCAGGGTCAACGCAGCCACATACCAGGAAGTTTTAGAGCACTTCATGCTTCCTGCAGCTGACCAACTTTTTGGAGATGCAGATTTCATTTTCCAACAGGGCTTGGCACCTGCACACAGTGCCAAAGCTACCAGTACCTGGTTGAAGGACCATGGTATCCCTGTTCTTAATTGGCCAGCAAACTCTCCTGACCTTAACCCCATAGAAAATCTATGGGGTATTGTGAAGAAGAAGATGCAATACACCAGACCCAACAATTCAGAAGAGCTAAAAGCCACTATTAGAGCAACCTGGGCTATCATAACACCTGAGCAGTGCCACAGACTGATCGACTCCATGCCACGCCGCATTGCTGCAGTAATACAGGCCAAAGGAGGCCCAACTAAATACTGAGTGCTGTACATGCTCATACTTTTCATGTTCATACTTTTCAGTTGGCCAACATTTCTATAAATCCTTTGTTTTTATTGGTCTTCAGTAATATTCTAATTTTCTGATATGATGAATTTGAGATTTTCATTTGTTGTCATTTGTAATCATCAAAATTAAACAAAATAAACATCTGAAATATATGAGTTTGTATGTAATGTATGAATATAATATACAAGTTTCACTTTTTAAATGGAATTACTGAAATCAATCTACTTTTTCATGATATTCTAATTTTATGACCAGCACCTGTAACTACACCCTACGGACCTAAGTGAGGATAAGCAACCCTGCTTTTCCCGCCTCTACGCTTGTAACCACGTTTCAGTTTTTAGGAGACAAGTTTGAATATTAAGAGACTCTGAACAAATAAATAAAACAAAAATATAGCATCAAACTGAAAGGAAACAACTGCTTAGGATGAATGAATCTACGTGTGTACAAACACAGGAAATATTAATGGATGGATTAGATGAATATTGTTCTGAGAGAATGCTTCAATTGAACCTTTTGATTAATAAAGAAGCTGCATTTCATAAAAAAGGTTTGGGGCTCAGATGGATTTTTAAATAACTTAGATGTTTAGTAAATATACTCTGCTTTATGTAGGGAGTGTAGCTAAATTCCGACTTTGGTAATTTTATATGGTGTAGATCTTTGATGAGATAAACAAGTTCTATTTTTAAATAACATATTGACTTTCCACTTGCTGCTGCGGTTCTTTTTAATGGAAAATATACAATTAGGAGTGAAACAACTAGAGCTCTTGTGAAATAATCTAAGTAAACAAGGACAAAAAACAATCTTCACAATTTACTACAAGAAAATGGGACAAAACAGTAAAAAAAAGCACATCAGTAAAATTATGAAATATTAAAAAAGAAAACCCTAAGGGAATCAATAAAAGGACATGGTGCAGTTTTTTTTTATTTTTTTTGGCATTATTCTATATCTTTCTCAAACGCCCCCTGAAAATAAGGCAGGTATTTAACAACCCTGCATTTATGTACGTAGTGCTTTGCTACAAAATCATGTCCATTCATTGAAATTTGTAGGACGTGAATACATTGAACGTCTTTTATGTAGGGGAATGTATGCTGACGTTTCCTCTCATGTTCTCAATCTGATCTCTCTTATCTAGTACGCATACATGATATGTATGTCTGATGTTAAAATACTAACAGTAAATCCCGCTCATTAGTGAGATTTGGGTGGCTCTTATAAGAGCCGTTGGTTTGTTTCAGAGAGCCTGCAGTTTTACTTCTTTGCTGGTTTCTCGGTTTTCTTGGGCAGCAACACGGCCTGGATGTTAGGAAGAACACCGCCCTGAGCGATGGTAACTCCGCCAAGCAGTTTGTTGAGTTCCTCGTCGTTGCGGACAGCCAGCTGCAGATGGCGGGGGATGATCCTGGTCTTCTTGTTATCACGAGCAGCGTTTCCAGCCAACTCCAGGATCTCAGCAGTCAGGTATTCCAGCACTGCAGCCAGATACACGGGAGCTCCAGCGCCCACGCGCTCAGCGTAGTTGCCCTTCCTCAACAGCCTGTGAACACGGCCGACTGGGAACTGCAGCCCAGCACGAGAGGAGCGGGTCTTGGCCTTAGCCCTGGCTTTGCCTCCGGTCTTTCCACGTCCAGACATGATTTCTGTAAAGGTTTACTATAACAAGTGACTGTAAGACGCGCATTGGGAGTATATATAAAGCCGGTGGTGGATCATATGCTCTCTGATTGGTCACTTATTACAACAAATCCTGTCGTCCAATCAAAGCAGGCGTCCGTTTTCCGCCGTCTGTTTCTGCCAATTACCGCAGCCTGCAGATTGAGGCATGGCTAAAGATAGAAATTTTTTTACCTATTCAGACACAGCATTACAGAATATACGGCCATTGTTGTCTAAAGTAAGGAATCATAATTGTATACGGCTCATGATTCCATGTATAAAAAATTGTCATACGTTTTTGATAGATAATAAAATGTGATAAATAATGATTTAATATATATTAGATCCATCCCCTTTCTTCCTGTCAAACCTTTTATCCATTCTACCTATACATAAACACATATATAAAACTATATTGAAATGACCTTTTTATTGCTTTTCCCCCAGAACAGACACAATAAGCCATTTCTTTATAGAAAATATTTACACATGGTTGTACCAGAGAATTTCTGTATCTCAAGAACTACGTACATTTCAAAAATTGTTAACTGTTCCCAAATATAAACACTGTTAAAGAGTTCAGTAAAAAAATCTTTTTTTAATTTTTACTGGTAAACTAAACCCAGAGAGAACAAAAGGGACATCAGGCATGGAAAGCAGGCTACAACACACAGCATAGATCTGAGATTACTGCACAACAAAGTGACAACCCACTTTTAAAACTTTGATGGATGCTTGTGAAATATCAGTGATATCTGTCAAATAAAGTACGGTCAGAGTAGGTAGAAAACAGACAAGCCCATAGCAGATATTGAGTCATCTTTCTCTAGATACGAAAAAATCACAATAACAATAGAAGGGATGGGAAAAAAAGACTGATGAGCAATTTTTTTATGACTGTAAGACAATAGTACCCTGTTTTATGATAAACATTTTAATATTTAGCTTTTTAATAAAATTTTGAGTTTCCACATGTTGTCGAGGTTCTTTTTAATTGGACAAAGACAATTATGAGTAAGACAACTTTAGCTCTTTAAAAATAATCTGACATATTATTAAAAAAAAAACAATCCGACACTACACTTTACAAAAAGAAAAAAAAAAGCAACACGCACGCACATAAATATCAAAATTAGTTATTATACTAATAAATACTAACAAATAACCAACACTGATAAATATAAGAAAAAAACTTAAGTAAATAACTTTTTTTTTTGCATTATTATTCTGTATTTCTTAACCCTTGAATAAGGATAACTGATCTTTAAGCATAGAAAAATTAGGGAGGTATTTAGCAAATCTACATTTAGCATTTTGCAGAAATAATTATATGACTGACAGTTAAAATGTATAGGAAATGTATATATTAAAATGACAAAACCTACATCTAAATATCCTGTTTTTTCTTTTTTTTAGAGATTCTGTTTCATCCTGCAGTAACCAATCACTTGTTGCTCATGGAATCCTTACCAGATAAATATTGAAAAGTTATACAGGAGGAAGTTTATAGGCTAATCTGGTGAGGCTGGTATCCATTTTGCAGAAGATCTATATAAGAGGTGCTTTTTATCATATGATACAGGATCAAAGCTCTGAGGAGAGATTTGTGTGGCTCTTAAAAGAGCCGTTGGGTTTTGTTGTATGAGCTTGACTTATGCTCTCTCTCCACGGATGCGGCGGGCCAGCTGGATGTCTTTGGGCATGATGGTGACCCTCTTGGCGTGGATGGCGCACAGGTTGGTGTCCTCGAACAGACCAACCAGGTAAGCCTCGCTGGCCTCCTGCAGAGCCATGACGGCGGAGCTCTGGAAGCGCAGGTCGGTCTTGAAATCCTGAGCGATCTCTCTGACCAGACGCTGGAAGGGCAGCTTGCGGATGAGCAGCTCAGTGGACTTCTGGTAACGGCGGATCTCTCGGAGAGCCACGGTACCGGGCCTGTAACGGTGGGGCTTCTTCACTCCACCGGTAGCCGGGGCGCTCTTACGGGCAGCTTTGGTAGCCAGCTGCTTCCTGGGAGCCTTTCCTCCGGTGGATTTACGGGCGGTCTGCTTGGTTCTTGCCATGGCGGACTAGAAGTTAACCTTCTGATCATAAGCGCACAGAGGAAACAGCGGCTTTATAAAGAGAGGCGCTGCGTGAGGTGGCCTCTGATTGGACCAATTTAAACACGTGCTACAGCCCGTCCAACTCAGCAATTGGTTGAGTTTGACATTTGAAAATAAAGCGCGAGATGTTTAACAAAGAAAGAAAAATGCGGGGAGTTTCTAAGAGGATAATCGGAAGAAATTTTCAATATTATATCAAACAATATGCAAAAAATGTTACTTTATGTATAGTTAGAGTTAAACGGAAATACTTTCAAGAAACCCCATTTATTCATGTGTCACATCTTATTTGTTTTGGAATAGCTCACTATGCAGGTTGGAGTTTGAAATAAATATGGATTACAATTATCTTTTCCCTAAATCGAATCAATCTCCTTTCTACTTTGAAAAATGAAACTAAAAACTAAGGTAAAAGAAATAAATAATACGTTTTTAAACATTAAACTGTACATTCTTGCCAATCACAATGGAGAGTACACATGTAATTATTTAGATTTTTATCTGCATTTATAATAGCAACATTCAATAAAATATAGTGCTTTAATTCTTCAATTCATTTACTGATTTTTTTTTTTGTTGTTTTACTGCCATTTATTCCTGTTACTGTGGTCACCTTTGATCACTTTTAGAAATGATCTCGTTATTTGAGGGTTAATCTGTCAATCATATGTACGAAGCTGTCCCCATGGAGCAGATAAACAGATTTTAATCATTACATTGATCAACCACTCTGATCACTACTTTTAAGTTTGATTATTTTATCTATTTAATTGAGTAATTAATTTTGTGCTTATAAAGAATGAGCTCTTGAAATGAAGCTGTGGTGGCTCTGAAAAGAGCCTTTGTTGCACTGAGTGCTGGTTGAAGCAGCAGTCTACTTCTTGGCCTTCTTAGCTGGGGCCTTTTTAGCTGCAGGTTTCTTGGCTGCAGGCTTCTTAGCTGCAGGCTTCTTAGCAGCCTTTGGCTTCTTGGCAGCAGGGGCGGCCTTTTTGGGGCTCTTCTTCACCACCTTTTTCACGCTTTTCTTGGCCGCTGCTGCCTTCTTCGGAGACTTCTTGGCTGCTGACGCTTTCTTAGCAGCGGTGGCTTTTTTCGGGGTGCTGGCCTTCTTGGCGGCGGGCTTCTTGGCTTTGGCGGGAGCCTTCTTCTTCACCACCTTCTTGGCTGGTTTAGCGGACTCCTTGGCGAGCTTGAAGGAGCCGGTGGCCCCGGTCCCTTTGGTCTGAGACAGGGTGCCTGAGGCCACCAGCTTGCTGACGGCCGTATTGATGCGCTTGTTGGCTTTAGCTACATCCACCCCTTTAGCAGCCAGGACCTTCTTCACCGCCGACAGAGACACTCCTTTGCGCTCCTTGGACTCGGTCACGGCGTCCACGATCTGCTTGGACAGGCTGGGTCCATCCTTCTTGGCCTTAGGAGCGGACTTCTTCCTCGGGGCTTTTGCCGGGGCCTTAGCCGGTGCAGCTGCTGGAGCTTCTTCTGCCATGTTTCTCTCTTAATGTTCCTCTGAACGTCTCCAGCTCAGAGCAGGAGGCGGGATTTATAATATGGATGAGAACCCTGAAGAAACAACTCAGCCTGCTGCTCTGCTCCCGCCTCAAATCGCTCCGCAATTGTGTTTTCTTCCCGGTTTTAAAGCTCTAAATCTTCGCTAAGTTAAACTTTTATATCATATAACTTATTTTATCGGAAAGGAAATTGTCTAATCTAATCACTGAGGTCCGATTTGGTTTCCAGGACTTTCTCTTATTAACCCAGGAACGCTCAAAAGTGTCTGAAGCTCCTTGTTTCGCAGCATCAAGAGGCGGATTTTCTCCACATTTCTTCCTTTAAAACATCTAAAACAATTGTTCACATAACATTAAGACGAGACCCTCGCTAAAAAACAAAGTAATGAAAAGAATACAAATGAAATGGTTTCGTTTGTGTCATTAATTCACTTAGAAATGAGGAAGATTCTCCCAGCAGTAAACACACGGAAACTGTCAATGAATCGGTCGGTCAGGATTCTCTGTTGGATAAAAGGGTTGGAAATTAACACTTTTCTATCAAATAATCTACTTAACACACTCAGACACACAAAGTACATGCTGGTGTTGTAGTTTACTTAAGAAAAGACGAAGGCTTGACATTTATTCATTAATTAGATCCCTCTTGTCTGTAATCTCACTGAATCAGGCGCTAAATTCCTTTTGTCTCCTTTAAATAAACCCAAGGGCCTACATACATTTTTACACAAATCCTATTTTCATTGCAATGAGCCAATAAAACATTTAGGATTTATTACATACAAATGAATGTGTTACAAGTGTACATAATGACATCAAAGAAGGACAAATTAATGAAGCTCCTTGTGCCTTCTGACCTGTGGACAATGAAAAACGGGTACAGATAAATCAATCAGCAACTTAATATCAAATTAAAGCCCTAGAACATATGTAGTATTTTTTCCTACAATATATTAGACTAATAGATTTTGCAGAATAATAAGTTATGTGCTTAAAAGAATATAAATATATCTTCAACAATGTCAAGAAAGAGAACCAAGTCATTATAGAATATTTGCTTTTAAAAAGCTACATTAATTTTATTTAATAGGCCAGCTCCAGAGGAAGTATCCTCGGTACTATTTTGAATAGTGTGTTTTTGATTTATTCGTAATTACTGGTGTTAAAACACACAATATGTTTTTTTGTCTAGATAAAAGAATATATCTTGTCTGTGGTGCTGGAAAATTATACTAAAGATAATTGATCCTATATGTGCTTTGATTAGAATGTCATGGCTTGTTGAAGAGATTTATATATTGATTATCAAAAAAGAGAAATTTAACACAACCTGGCAACAAGAATACATAGATTTTTGGCTTTCTATTTTAAAAAAAAGTT